AGTTCGATCCCCGGCCGTGTCATACCAAAGACTTTAAAATACTGCTTTTCCTGCTTAGCACTCAGCATTATTTGGAAAGAGTATGAGAGTTGGCGTCTTAAGAACCGATTGACCGATCGTCATGATTTTTGATAATGTAGGTAGCTTAATCGATGCTTACAATGTGATGTATGTGATTTGCATAATGTATGAGGAAATTCTATAAATCAGTTGTATTACATGATATAGGACTATTCAAGCTTGCGGCATATGTAATTGCGAATGAGTGAAACACAGGCAGGTATTGATTATGTAAATTAAGACTTAATTTGCATAATCAAAGAGAAAATGTTGTAACTCAGCAATGGCAACTGCCTGGAACTTCGTACTTGAGGTATTTGAAAGTGAAGTGAAAGTCATCAAACATAACTCATTCAAATAATGACCTCATTTGCATAATTTATGTGGAAATGCCAGAATGGCATTCTTTGTTAAACTTAAGATGACACTATCTTCTGGTGGAGAATATGATCAACTGAAATGAGGATCCTATTTGCATAATCAGGGGGACTAATCTATAATTTGTGCGTCATAAAGATTAACATCTTTGGCGAAGGTATGAGATCATGGAACTCTTGTTCAGTACTAGGACGCCGAATAAGCAAAAGTCTTTTATAGGTCGATGATGTTAAACATCGAAAATTGATCAAATGTTTCCTAAACACAGAATGTGAAGTTTGAAACAAAAGTTGTACATGTTGTACATTGCCCTACCTCCTACCTGATGTCGTCCCCAGGACGATAACTGCTACCAGAAGTAAACTCGTTCCCAGCTGCAGCATTGTCAAGTAAATGCGAGGCAGTGCACAAATAGTGCTAGTAGAAGGCAGACTTTTGGCTGAATAAGCTTAAGCTGTCATAAACGTCGATAAAACCCGTACCCTAACTTTAGTCATGAAGTTGTTCATGAAGATTCTTTCAGCTGAAGCTAGAATCAACAGACATTTTCTACCCGTCACGGCATGCAAATTATTGTCCAGCAGTGTACATTTCCGCTTCCCCATATGTGGACACTTGAAAATGAAAATCCTCAACAGTGTTCTCAAGTAACATGGGGGTGTCAGAAGTGATGTTTTTAGATATTTTCAGTGCCATTTCTGCTAGATCATGCTCTAACATGTGTATCATTTTTGTTTTTGGATATTTTATATACAGTACTCTCCAAGCAGAGGTTTGGGTTTTGGGCGTATTTTTAGCGTGTTTTAGGATTTTTATCGGGGTTTCTCTTTTGCACTGAATTTTTTTTTCACTGGGTTTGGTGGGAAAAAATTCAGTGCAAAAAAGAAACCCCGATAAAAAAAGGCGAAAAACACGCTAAAAATACCCCCAAAACACAAACCTCTGCTTGGAGAGTAATTTTATATACTTAACGGTTACAGTTCAATCGATACATGATACAACTTACATCGTTTCGGCCCTCTACAGTAGCACTCCGTCAATTCAAGCTTTTTTTCTTTCCTTTTTTTAAACAAAATATCATCATTTGTTATACATGTAGGATACAGTTGGAATATCTTTTGATGATACAATTCTATGGAACGCTATTATATAAGGGCAAATCATAAATCAAGTGTTTTTGGATACGTATTTCCAGTAATCCGTATTTTTCTCCAGGCAGGCGAAGATAGATGAAAATACAAAAGCCTAACAAGAGTTCCAAGATCTCATACCTCCATGAAATATGGGCTTGCTTTATCATACTTCATTTCAACATGTCCTCATTAATTATGCAAATGACCTCGAAATCAACATAATATATGTATAGTGGTGCTAACCTTCAAGTAACTTACACATGTCACGAGGTATAAAATTCCCTCATTCACCAATAAGGAGTCACAGAATTTTCACATTAATTATGCAAATTAGGTCATAATTTGCATAATTGGTATCTGTTGATGTTCTGCCTGCCACAGATTAAATAGATTACATGTATAGTAGTACTATTATATAAAAGACTGTAATTATAGAATTTCCTCCTTAATTATGCAAATTAAGTCCTCATTTGCATAATTTGCTTCTATGTATGTATGTATGTTTTACAATTTTCAGACCTACATGGTCTTTTGCTACATGCCTAACAGTATGGAGTCATTTTAACTTATTGATTTTATAGTTCCACATCCGCCTATTTCCTGCATGTCTAGCTATTAAACTGTTCAAATGATAAGGGACTGTACGATATTTACCGGGGGGGGGGAGGGCTGGTGCACTGGAGGGGAGGGCCATTGAAAACTTTTTTGGCCCGGGGGGAGGGCCATCGAAAAAATATCTTAACCGAGGGGAGGCCATCGAAAAAAAAATCAGCCTTGGGGGGAGGGCCACTGAAAAAGTTTTCCAAAATATGGCGTCGCGTAGTACCGAATTACAAGAAATACGCCGTAAATTCGAAATATAGTACGCACTTTTAAAACTTTTCCAAATCCCAAAAGTGTCTCGGGCCGTCGCCAAAGTCGGGGTGCGAGGTTTTTGAGGTTGAGGTTTTCCCCCGACAAATCCGTGGACGACCCAGGGATATATATAGCGGAACACCGGCACGGGGAACTTGGAACGACATCGATCGTCCATAGCATGTTTAGATAAGAATATTGACGAGTGGAAATAAAGTTGATCTTCAAATATGAACATAATTCCTCTGACTATCGTCGATATTTACACCAAGTTGTGGTAAAAAAGAAGTCAAGTCACCCACGGTAAGAAAATGTTGGTCACTAGCAATGACGCCCGGCGCTCCGTCATGCCGACCGGCCGTCCCCCAGCCAGCCGACGCCGATCTCAGTGGAACTCCGGCCGAAAATATAACCCCCCGTAAGTACATATAAAATTGTAAGAGGGTTTATGAGCGGTAATATTTGAAATGGTCCGCAAGCCGTGAAGTTTTTGATCGTCGTAAACAAAACGTAACGTGATAAAATAACAGTTGTGCCTCGACTGATGGTCAATTCTAATGCACTTCCGGCTTGAGTTTAACTCAGAAATCTTCGACAAAGATTTTACCCCATGCCGTTTCAAAGGTTCAGTTGACAGATATTGTTATCCATGTTTCATTTCGTATCACAAATATTTTTAAATCTTGATAAACGCCATGGGAAATTACTTTGTAGCGGACTATACCAGCCAGTGCAGTACGACGTGAAAATGCCAGCTAGATGTACTCTCCCACCCGACTGTTCGGCAAGCTACAATGATATGGGCGGAGTTATCTTAAAATGTAGTCTTTGATGAAAGGCCGGTGGGTGGGGTGCTGAGCGCGCCGACAGGCAAAGTGCACCTACAGCTGAAGAACAAAGAGGGCCGTGGCAGCGCTGAGGACAGCTTTCCAGAACCTGGGCCCCGGGAAGGAGATCTTTCTTTCCTCTGAACAGAATGTACTTATAAGTTTTACGGAGTACAAAATAATTAACACGTGTTTATTCCTTAGAAGTGTAACGGGTGGCAAATTTTAAGGCAGCACCTCTACAGTAGCATGAATACTCCGCCCAGTTCTCCGCCTCGATGATCGTTAATTAATTGCTCTCCATGGGTTGATCGGGCGGGTGCTATTTTAAGTGTTCGGTGCATTTCGTATACATGTAGCAAAAAAAAAACAGCAAAGCTACGTACTTGTACATCAACATTCAACTACCCCCCGCTACCGATGAAGTCAATATTGAAATACGGTCTTTTTTCACGAATCTTTATTGACCATTGCTTGTTTGATCACCAACGTTCTCCGGGATCCAAAGCTGTACGTTTCGCCGCACTTGCCTTACCTTTCGATGCGATGGTGACGTCTTGCAAGTCGGCTGCGGCCGGCGGTGAAAACAAGCCCGAACATGGAACGTTTCCCGCTACGTTACCATACAATCACGCAGTACACAGCATAAATCTGGTTTTTAACAATTTTAAAGCTGCAATTTTAAATTTGTTTGGAACGATGAACTGTCTTTAAGACCAGAGGTACCGGCCGTGCGTAGAAGGGGTGCGTACTTTTCCATCAGAGTTTTTCCATTTCAGACGGGAATATTTGTCTCCCATCAGCCCCAAATTGGGGGCGCGTACCTTTAATCGGGATGCGTACTTAATTTGGGAATTTACGGAGGGATAAAGAAAAGTGGGGGGAGGGCCATCGAAAAAAATTTGAGCCGGGGGAGGCCATTGAAAAAATTTTACCGGACCATTTGCACCAGCCCTCCCCCCCCGGTAAATATCGTACAGTCCCTAAGTGTAACTGTTCACAATCCATCAGCAGAGATCTCTCAGGAGGGTTGTCTCCTCCGCACACGTAGGCCTTGAGGGTGCGCCTAACCAGCCTGGAGGGGTCCATGCGAAGAATGTGGCCAAGGTACCGGAGAATTTGCATCTAATTATGTACAACTTTCTCCCAGCTACCTACACACAAAAATTGATGAAAATACGTTGTTCCTATCTGGAATTATTGGCTTTTAAAGGTTTCGCCAGAAAGTCCCCTGCAGTTCCAGAACAATCTGCTAGGGGGACAAAATTCACACCACTTATTTCTGACAGGAAAAGCTATCTGTCACCAAAAAGTCAAGACCATAGCATGTTCAGGACAAAAGATACAAAAACCGGAAGTTCTGCTGCAGTACCAAGGTCATCCACCAGGAGGCCCATATTTGACCTTGACCTTTGTCTTCCCAAGACGTATCAGCATACCAAATATCATCACAATCCATAAAGGCGTTCTGAAGTTATGCTGACCACAAAGTTGCGGAAACACACACAGACAGACAGACAGACACACAGACACACACAGACATACAGACACGCCAAAAACAATACCTCCATTTTTCATGGAGGTAAAAACACATAAAGACACTGAGCCGAACCCTACATCTGCTTGGATATTGGAACATACCAAGCCAACATTGCTCAGAGCGTCAGAAAGAGTATTTACGTTCTGGGGCATGGCGCGAAACTGCTGACCAATCACAGCGAGATCTTCTACTAATTCTGACCAATCATCGCCAGGCGTCTGGGTCAGCGTTGTTCTTTCGCGCCATTTTTCAGCTGATAGCGTCCCGGCAACTGAGAAAAGGTCAACAAATTTTCTCCCAAACCGTGCAAATTCCGGGCGATCTAAACACATCCAGGTACAAATAAGATCCGGGTTGTACCCCAGAATTAGTACTTGTTTACGTTTTGTAATAACAGGCTGCTGAAGGGAGGATTTTCGCCCCAAATTTGGATCATGTGACCTGATCTTTTTCTGCTACATTCACATCCAGACGTGCAACAGAGAGACTGGTACATATTTTTGCAGAGGTAAGTTTATGCTTGTGCCTTTCAATAACAACAGCAGCGAGTTGTTGTTTGTGCTAAATCACTGTGTACTATTCTGTTCAAGATTGGAGAGTCTGGCACATATTTTGGGCGGGCTAGCGGTTTTTTTTAACCACAGTATACCCCGGGTCTGCGTTGTATCAAACCAGGTCACCATGTACTAGGTCCTTTTCCGGCCGACCATTTTTTGGAGGTCATTTACATTTTTTCATACACTTCTCGTCAATAAAAATAGTAAGTTTTATTGCAAATTCATGCCCGAAGGCTAATTGCATGAACAGAAGAAACATTTGTATAAAAACAGGTAATAAGTACACATATAACTACTGATAACTATTAAGAGACTACTAGTAGAAAAAACTACTGGGTTTGACTTCTTTTTTGAAGACAGAGGAAGACAAAGGATCCCACTTTTTCTATAATTTGTGGGTTTTCGGATGTTATAAAATAAAATATCACAACGCAGGGTGCTTATGATTGTATCAAAATCATTGCGACTGTGTTGTTGCAGAAGTGTTGTTTAAATCGAATCGTCGGTTGGTCAAGCATTTTTTTTCAACACATGCCCGGACAGGCCTCAGAACCGGGGTCAGATTTTGTCAACATCTTGTTTTTGTTTGTCGCCGTATTGGTAAACATGCGCATGCTACAGTTTGTCCTAAATTCTCAACGAGATTTTGCTATCCAAAATTATCCTTACACGTGCTTTAATGTGAAATGTGTGTGTGTTTGTGGTTAGCTATAATTTTTTCTGGCGTCCTACTGTCTGTGGCACATGTAGGGTCTCACTGAGGGTCTCTTCTAGCAGTTCTCTGTAATAAATTGCAGACATCGATAGCCTGATGGGTATGCACTATCATCAAATATCTGCTTTTGATCTTATTTTAGAAGTCAGTAAGTCACGTCATGAAGCAAATATTTATGAAGATTATTTCATCTGAAGCTATCAGCAGACATTTTCTACCCGTCATGGCATGCAAATTATTATTCAGCTGTGTACATTTCTTGATGAATGATATTGACAGCAACATTTAGCATTTTTGGCTGTCACGTTTTTTTTAAATATCGGAATCATAATTTTGCATTGTATTTCTATGTGACAAGAACAAAATGAGGTATATGTAGAGTTGGGCAGTGTAGACCAACCTCCTAGTACCTTCCCACACACTTACTATCGCTAGCTACTTTCTTGTCTCTCGTAGACACAATTTATGCAGGCAAAACACTAACGCCGTGAAACACTAATGTACAAAAACTGCATTTGCATCTGAGTGTACAAAAACTGTGTATGTCATTTTTTTTCTGTATATAAATTGGCCTGGCTTCAGATTGTACACCAGGCCAGGATGCTTCGTACAGTTTGACATTAGGTATAATTTGAACATGTGTCAAAAGCAGGCCAATTTGAAATTGCATGCAGGAAAAAATTGACGTACACAGTTTTTGTGTGCTTTCTGCAGTTTTTTATACATCGGGTGTTTACCTGTGTGTAAATCAGGTCATACCCAAGTTAAAGTTTATTGCAGATCAGTTGTAACAGGCACAGTGTAAGGAAAAGTGTTGTATAAGACTACTAGATAATTATATTGGTCTAGAAAATTCTACATATAGATTCTTATACATGTACATTGTCATCATCGGCGGTAGATTGCGTCCGAGCTATACAATATTAGCTAAGCACGCCGGCAGAACGTACTGCACCTGCGCGAAACCCGTAATGTATTGTACATAGCAGTTCGGCAGAATGTCTCATATAAGGTTGTATTCGCTCATATGAGGCATTTCGACAGTAGTTTCCAAATGTTGTGTCGGAAAGAATATCCTCTGCAACAGGCAAAATTCTGATGCAACGTTGACCAAAAACCCAATGAAAAACGCGAAAATACGGGGTTCTGCGCAGGCGCAGTACATTCTGCCGACGTGCTTATTAGCTATACAATATTGATAGAAAACACAGTGCACAGTGTAAGGCAAATCATTGTCTAAGATGACAGGCTTTTTTCATAAATCTTTTGCGTATAATCTACAGGTAAACCAAAAGCATACATTATCAGTCGATGAAGGCTAGACATTTACAAATCCTAGATTTCCAGTCAATCCATTGATCTGAAGTGACATGAATCAAAGTTGAAAAGTGTCTTTTCAGCAAATATTATAAAACGTACAGACTCCAGTCAGGATCTCTGCTGGTACTAGTGGTAGATTCGCTCGGGATTCAAACCCAGAACCTTCTGATTCAAAATCAATAACCCTAACGACAAGACCACCTTGCCACTTTGAATTTCTACACTTCTATGCTGTTCAACCTTCTCTCCGCTTGCTCAACAGAATTTGTTACATTTCATGCTATAGATAAATTTAATTTCATCCTAGAAGGTAATAACCCTCACTGTGTACAAATAGGTAAATATATCAAAGAATGCTTAGACCTTAGAACAAGTAGTATTAGTTGACTCATCTATTGTTTTGTACGTAGGTTAATATCTTTGTACCCATGTATTTGTCTGTATGTCTACATGCAGTTTTAGACTTTATGAAAGTCGCTGTACTTTTGTTGTGTCAATAAAGTTCTTTTATGTCCTGATTTTCCTGTATTCCTGTAGGTTTTAGTTTGCGTCCAGTAGTACTATGGAGGCTGACCTGAGAAGACTGGCCTCCGCCCTGTCCCTGTCTGCAGACATCACTGACGAGGCACTGCACATCCTGGCAGAGGTCGGGAGTAAGGCTCACGGCAAAGGACAGGTCAGAAATACCTCTTTCTTTACTTCCCGGTTACTTAAGATTCTTCTGGGTGGGTTTTGGTGTTCTTCTTTCACTGTACCTTAACTGAGAAGTGGAACGTTATGCTTTTTGGCTCAGCCCTTCTTGTGCTGATTTTGATGGAGGTGTTTGAAATAGAACGCATGTTGGTAGTTCAATGTGTTTGATCCAAATTGGTTTATATATAGAACAGTTTGATATGTTCCATAACATGTTACTGTGTTTTTTTCCCTACTCAGGTGCCCCAGCTGTGTTGTGTGGCCTGCATCTATGTAGCTGTCACAAAATCAAGGTGAGCCAACTACGGCTGTGTACCTTATATGACTGTTAATGTATTTCGTGGTTTGTAAAGTCATAGTAGTAGATACATACAGTACAGACCACGAAATACGCATCAAGTTCTGCGGGACGTACCGCGATATTCCGCAGGACGTCCCGCAATATTCCGCAGGACGTCCCGCAATATTCCGCACGACGTTCCGCAATCTTACGCACGGCGTTCCGCAATCTTACGCACGGCGTTCCGCAATCTTACGCACGGCGTTCTGCGGTATTTCGCAGGGCGTACCGCGGTATTTCGCACGACGTCCCGCAGTGCACCTGAGAGCACTTTCGCAGAACTTTGCGAAAGTTCCGCAGAACACCTCTCCGTAAGGCCGCGTTTCCGCAGAAATACGTCCTTTTCATATGCAGGCCACCCGCGCCGTGGGCGGAGAAAGATCACACCCGGTTTGTTTACATTTTCTATAGCGCGGAGTGAAAATGTTCATGAGATCTGCCGATATTTTTTACCCAACAGTGAAGATCGTAAATTCCTGAGCTAGAATGTGGTTTAATAGATTGAGTTAAGATTTCTACCTCTCTGAAACGTGCATGTACACAAATATATTTATTGAAAACATGATCGCTGTGGTCTGAATTGTTACAGGGTTCTAATTAGCGGGAGCTTTGTTTCTTGATCTTGTGTTTCTTGTTTTGAAACCCACGCTGATCGCGGAACACTTCCCGTTGGAATGAACGCCAAAATTGCGTCAAATACACAATAAACCCACATACAAATACAGTATATATGTATTCCCGAAAGATTCTTTCAGTCCTGAATTTATTTACTAGAATAGTCTATTTTTGGTCGTACAAAACAAAACATCATTTTGAAAGAAATACATAATTTTACTCTTTGTCCGTCACCCCACGCCGCCGCTGGCTTCCGAGCCAGTACAATTTCGTACAATTCGCAAAGTTACCATTCTGGGATTTAGATGTTTAAAATATACATTCTAAGGAACAGTTTCGTATGTAGTTTGTGTGGTTTTGAGTTAATTAGCGCGAGGATTGGCGAGAATGCAGAGGGTTCGTAGCGGTGGACGTGTGTTGCACTCGAGTGGGAGGGAGCGCTTCGTAACGTGCGTCCAGAAATGCCGGACAATTTTGATCGTGAAAAATCGTACAATTTGTAAATATAGCGATCTTGGATTCGGATGTATTGAGAAATACATTTGTAAGGAACAGATTCATGTATTGTTTGTGTAGTTTTGAATAAACCTGCGCGAGGATGTAGAGGGTGCGATGTAGTGGGTGCGATGAAAATGGAGTCGATTTTTTTGCCAAAAAAAAAAACGGCAACGCACCCGAAAAATAAATAAACACGGTACGGGACAACCCGAACTTGACGTGTTTATGCAAAATTTGACGCAGATTCATTCGTTCTCAGACTATATTAAAAAGTTGACTCTGTGAAAAATTTTGGGATGAAATCGGGACAAGAAAATTACAAAGCCGCGCCGGCCGTGCAGGGCGGAACAAGCTACTGTCGTCTAACAATCTTCAGGCGGTGTCTCTGGGCGGAGTCTCAACTCTTCTGCGGCCCGGTTGGTGGGCGGGTCCCCGTCTGCGCGCTGTGATTGGCGCGCCGGAACGCCACGTGGTCTGCGGCGCCAGGGAGTCTACCAGTGCCGCTGCTGCTACGTGCTGTTACGTGCTGTTACTATGGCGACGTGCGTGGGAACGCCCGGCCCAACAGCGTGGCGAACGAAATGTATCAATTTTTGATGCGTGTCAACAAAGCCATGGGGCGTAAAGAACCCTTGAATTATGCTTCGCGCTTGGCACAATAATATTAATTCTCATATGCAAAAACGACTCTGAATATTACCACGAGTCTTCCGTCAGCAACAACAAACGAACGCCTGAATCTACACACGTACACTCGAATAGAGAACCTAGATAATACTAGTAACGTTAGTAGATTATACATACAGTCGGTAAAGATCGGAACTGTAACGAAGATAGGCGAATATAAATTTGTCACATAGACACCAATCACAGAGCCTCGGTTATAGTCGGTGAAGATCGTGTTTGTAACGAAGACGGGCGAAATCATTGGAGCAGCCCAGCTAGACTGTTGGCGCCGACGGCAGGGGCGGCAACTTCTTCAAAGGGAAACGCCTGTCGATCAAGTATAATATGTGCGTGTGGCTATGGGAAAATGCCTCGCTCTAAAATGTATCACGTAGTTCTGAATCGATAATCACAAACAGCAAGGAGCTTCTACAACATATAGCGTCCTTGCAAACAGGGACAATATCAAACTTCGTTATTTTTGGCCACAGAGTCGAAGCATTTAAAGCTTAAAATTTTAAAAAGTGGTTTCTTCGGCGAAGTCATGCCTTGCAGAAAATGTTGACGATACACATTACGTGTTCGACCGCAGGTCATTGACCTCCAGCTTGCGTTGTTCCAGCGGAGAAGAGCGTCTGGCAGTTTTTATAATAGCGTCAGATTTTGTTTGTTAAATCATACACAGGCATTCATGCATCTATCATTCTTCCAACTAGTTCGTAGTTATGTGAGATGTTTATTGGAATCACACGGATCGGAACAAACTCAGCGTATCAAATAGTAAACATCAATCGCCCAAGCACAGCCGGCAGCGTGGACCCGCCGCGCTGATAATCCCCGATATTGTCCACAAATTATCAACAAATACGTGAAAATGAGGTGGAATAAGTGTCATGTAAATCTCAGAATACAAAGGCTGCTCATTAACGACCGAAATCTTGCGAAAGATTTCTTACGCAGAAGAAGTTTCGCAGCGGCGTTTCCATTACCAGTGGACAGTTCTGCGAAATTCTGCGGGACGTCCCGCAATCTTACGCACGGCCTTCCGCAATCTTACGCACGACCTTCCGCAATATTTCGCACGGCCTTCCGCAATATTCCGCACGGCCTTCCGCAATATTCCGCACGGCGTTTCGCGATATTCCGCACGGCGTTTCGCGATATACCGCAGGACGTACCGCGGTATTTCGCAGAACGTCCCGCGAAAACTGATGCGTATTTCGTGGCCTGTGCTGTATATGTCACAACTGGGATATGGCATTAATTCCATTCATACTATTCACATACAAATGCTTTTTAGAGTTTTAAAAGAAACATTACACAACAGATCTCGTACAACTTTTTACAAATTTACATATACAAGAAGCTCCCACTGAAATTAGTTTTTGGATGCAGTAATGATACTTATTATACCTGTTTGTTGTAAATGTTGCACTTCACATTTCCAGGTTTCAAGAGACAGAAGATGACAGTTCCCCAGACAGTGTTAACGTCTTCGCTCCCTGTGTGACACTTCAAGACATACTGACCAAGGCCAATGCCAAGTAGGTTCTCATCAATTTTATTAACATCTTACACAAAGTCATACAATTCTTAATATGAACAACATTTTTGATAGTGTTGTCACATGATCACACCAGATCACATAATATATTATATCTGTCAGACGGGAAAAAATGCATCTAAAAAGATCTCCAATGTAATGTCAGCCAGTAAAACATACAGTATGATACTCCTGTATATCTAAAAGTGCCAAGTTGGTCTTTTGGTTAGGGTTGCTCACTTAGAATCTGAAGGTTCTGGGTTCAAATCCCTGGCAGGCCCCATTGTTGTGTCCTTGGGGAAGGCTCTTTATACCTATTTTCTTGGGTTACCGATACCTGTCCAGTACCTAAAACTTTGTACCTGTATCAGTATGTATCTAAATCTCTGTACTGGCAACATTACCTAAACTTCTTTACCAGTGCCTGTAGCAGTACTTTAACCCCTGGTACCTGTACCTAAACCTTTTTACTGGTACCTGTACCTAAACCTTTTTACTGGTACATGTACATGTACCTGTACCTAAACCTTTTTACTGGTACCTGTACCTAAACCTTTTTACTGGTACCTGTACCTAAACCTTTTTACTGGTACCTGTACCTAAACCTTTTACTGGTACCTGTACCTAAACCTCTGTAGTCCCTGATGTTTAGGTATGCAGCATTAATGTTAACTTGTGCAAATTGTTCACCATTAAGTGAATAATGTCTCTGTTGCAGTATTGTGATGTTGTTTCACGCCATGAAGACATCACATTGTATGGAAGACGCCAGTTCCCATGTCAGAGAGGCGTACAGTCAGCTACAGCGGAAGTACTGTATCGTGGCAGCCCTGCACCTCAAGTTTGAAAAGTAAGTGCCGAAATTTTTGAATTTTCGTATATACACAAAAAGTGCTTCTCTCACCTTGCTTACATTTCAATGTCTATCAGACAAAAGGTGTCTGTGACATTGAAACGTAAGCAAGGTGGAAAGAATCGTGGTTGTGTAAAAGAAAATCCCACTAGAGAAGTAACATTTGCAAAGCAAATGCATAATGTTAACCTTCGGACATGGTCTGCCCTGTTAATTTTTACTCAAACACATTCACATACATGTACTACTAGTATATGGTGACAGGAGTAGAGTATACCATGAAATTGCAACATTACATGTATGTAACCCAACACCAGTCACCATGGTGGCAGACGTCAACAAAAATGTCATTGGCCAGGTCAGAGGTTAATGTTTGGAACAGAAGAGGAGGAAGAAACTGAGTAAAAACAATATGTTTTCCTTCGGTAAACATAGATATCCTATGTTCTACCAACCTGTTGAAATTATTTTCTGAAGTTCTATTGTGTAGTTCTGTCAACCAAATATGGTGGTACTGATAGTTACTTGTGGGATGAAAATGTTGTTTTGGGTGGTTTGTATGTTTTGGTTCCAGAGTTAGGAGGGTGGTGTAATAGTCAAGTAAGTTGCTCAAACATATATAAAAGTGAAAGCTTTTGATTCGCTTGAATGGAATTACCTAGATAAAACACTACAGACCTTTAATTTCGGCCCAGGGTTCAGAAATGGATGTCGGTACTGTATAAAAACGCTTGTAGCTGTGTTATAAATAATGGCTTTATTTCTGAATGGTTTAGTCTTGAAAGAGGAGTAAGACAGGGAGACCCCCTTTCGGGCCTACTCTTCATAATAGGACTTGAACCACTCGCCAATAAAATTCGATCAGATGAAAGAATTGGCGGAATTATCATAAGCAAGCAGCTAACAAAAAACCTAATGTACGCTGACGACACCACAATCTTGACAAATGGAGTTGAGTCAGCGAAAAATGCTCTGTCAGTCTTAGAAACGTTTGAATATTGCTCAGGACTTCAAGTTAGTAAGAAAAAAACAGAAGCCATGTGGCTGGGTACAAATAAGGACAGAAAGGACACACCTCTAGGTGTCCACTGGCCAAGCAAGCCAATCAAATGTCTTGGGGTCCATTTCTCCTATGACAGAAAGAAATGCGAAGAACTGGACTTTGATGAAAAGTTGAAGAAAATGAGAAACTTGTTAAATATTTGGTCAGGAAGAGATTTAACTTTAATAGGAAAAATCCTCGTATTTAAGTCACTAGCTGTATCCAAACTAATATATAATTGTTCAGTACTCAAAGCCCCAGAAGACTTTGATAAGAAAGTCAATTCAATAGGACTGAAGTTTATATGGAATAACAAATCACCAAAGGTCAAGTTGTCAACCCTAATGGGAAACAGGGAACAAGGTGGCTTAAATATGATGAATTTTACTTGCATGTTAAAGGCACTGAACGCCAGCTGGATAAAGAGAATATACACAACAAATGTATTAGAATATCACTTCCACTGCTTTGGGGGAACTTTTTTATTTAAGTGCAATTTCTCAGTTAAAGCGTTGAATGTTAAGAACATGCCTTCTTTCTATGTAAGCATGTTAGAAGCATGGGAGGAGTTAAATTCACACCGCCCACAAACTAAGGAGGAAATAAGACATGAATTTCTTTGGAACAATCAATACATAGTACAAAACTGTAAATCGATTTTCTGGAAAAAGTTGTTTGAAGAGGGAATAAAAACAATTCAGGACATAGCCGATGAACATGGTAACATTTTAACTCCTGAAGATTTAAGAAAAAAATATTCAATTTCCTTGAATGCATCAGAGCTCCTAAGATATTATGGGCTGCGTGAATCCATCCCCACGAGTTGGAAAACGACCTTGAAAGAGCCTGACAGTGTGTCTGTATGTAATATTAACGAACAAACACAGGAAATAGACATACAGAAAGTAACAAACAAAATCTTGTATAAGAAATATGTAGCAAGACTGTATGTCCCTCCAACAAGTGTACATAATTTAGAAGAGATCTTTCAAGGGGATGTAATTCCTCGACTTTCTTCGCCCCAAGTCGACTAGTTGAGACGAAACTGCAAAACTTTATGTTTAAGATATTACATAACTTCTTGCCAACAAAAATGTGGTTGTATAAAAGGAAAATAGGCGAATCAGGATTATGCCAACATTGTAATACAGAACAAACTATAATGCACCTGCTTTATCAATGCAAGTACGCACAACGAATTTGGGTTGAATTCTTTAAGTGGTGGAAAATTGTGGTAGGAAAAGACGTTAAGTTAGACCCACACGAAATAGTGTATGGTAGTGTCGATATGTCGAACAAAATGTACTTCTGTGTTACTGATATTAAGTTTTATTTATATAAGATGTACATTAAGGATTTACTTCATTTTACTAGCTTCGAAGAGTGTAAGACTAGATTTAAAACAATTCACTTCTGATTTTATGATGATTGTAAATACGGGGGGTAACTGATGGTGTGGGCGTCTCAGGTTGTTTTTTAATATGCTAACATTGATCATGTATGTATAGTATTTGTATTTTTATACTGTAAACCTTTGTATGTGTCATACTGTATGTAATGTTTTCTGTATTTTTGTCAATAAAGTGTTTAAAAAAAAAAAAAAATATATATAAAAGTGATTGGGCTGTGATTGAGTTTCAGTTGATTGACAGTGTTGCGCCCTGTGTGGTAGGTTCTGGTTGACAGAAATGCGGTCATCAGTAGATAAGTATGTGTATGTCAAGTCTTTTTGGCAGGGAAGCAACAAAGAGATCATACTAAAGCTAATAAGGCTGGCACCCGGGCAGTTTTTATATCTTCTGTTCTTGACATTTGATCGTTGATGTTTTTCCATCCAGGCTGTTTGCTGCTATCTTTCAAGAGAACCCAAGTCCATTTTCATCCAGGTACGTGATTTAAATGTAAATCTGCTGTTATGCCATATGGCAGTTATTGAATTCTCATCACATAATGTTATGTTCTACATACATGTATTGTTAACTTATTGTTCTGTCAATAAAAATAAATTCAACAATTTCATATATGTGAAATTGTATGTATATGTGGATGAGTGTGTGTGTGTGCATGCACATGTGTGGGAGTAGTGTGTGTATTTGTGTGTCTCTAGATCTGTGTGTGTGAGTGTGTATGTGTGTGTGTGTATGTGAATGTGTATGTGTAATCTGGAACTGTTCGTTTTAATGACCAACTTGTCATCCTTCTACAGCACCACAAACACAGTCACCCCCAGGATGAAACAAAGCTGGCTGATCTTCCTTCTAGCTAAAGGTTAGGCAGTGAGAGAATATTAATTCAATTAGATATAGCTAGGTATGCTATATGTACTGCTCCGTTCCCACTTTTTCTGCCTCTATTGTAGACCTTTTCATAGAACCCATTGCATTTTGGGAGATGCTGGGCACTCTGGGTAGTGCAGAGGGTAATGCGTACGTAATGCATGCTGTGTCCATTCATGTTGTCATGGTAACGATTTTGTTTGCCACTTGTGCTACCCATAATGCTCCACAGCATTAATGCTATCCCAGCATGCATTGGGATCTGTGAAAATGTCTTTGTTTGGAAACAAGGTGGTGGATGTACATTGTATGTAATGAAAATATTTTAAAGATACATAAAATCAAAATATTAAAACTGAATATTAATGTTCAACCCATGCCATTGTCTCAGTTTTGTTTGTGACCCCTTTTTTATAGGAAAAGTCCTGCAGGGAAACCCAGAACTGGTGCTGAACTTCCACCTCCTGTTGTGCTGCCTGGCTCACATCATCAGGTGGACTCCCAGCTTCTTACTCAGGCCTCCGTATGGTGAGGACTACGTTTTATTATACTGCATTACTGGAATTTATTTTGAGGATTTGGATAGAACTATGTGGGACCTGAGATGTGCAGTTAGTAGAGAAGGTTTCATTCACCCTTGATAGAGCACACCCTGTTTTTTTTGTGGGGTCTCTATTTTATTCTGCACTCCTTCAGTTCTAGTGACCGTCTCTTTCAGGAAATACAACATGTAATTTTGAAGCAAACAAATTGTGTATTGAAATGACGGTTATGTATCCTGCCAGTCACAAGAACAACAGGGTTTCAGTTTCTTTACACTCTCAAATTTTTGTAAATTTTTAGGGGAAAAAGTACTTTACAGCTACCAAAGATGTTCTTTGGTATCTTTTCAACAATTGGCCAATTTATTTAGCATTTATGCCATAATATTCACAATTTGCTAGGAGATGTATAGGGGGTAGTACTAGTGATACTGTTAACACATTGTACTCTCCAAGCAGAGGGTTGGGTTTTGGGGGTATTTATTTTTAGTGTGTTTTTAGTCTTTTTTTTTGGGGGGGGGGGTTCTCTTTTGCACTGAATTTTTTTCCCCACCAAACCCAACCTCTGCAGGCAGTCGGAAGCTTCAATGGGCTATAAACCTAATCACTTCAACACATTTCAGTCGTTCTGCAAGGAGGTGTGAACCAGACGCATGAATAGGCACAGTCAGCAGGAGGCGTGTGGCCCAATGAATGCCTTTCTGACTGGCTAGATGTGTGATAATCCACCACAATAAAATGGATATCCCTAATGACAGTTTGATGGTTCCCGGGGAGGGGCACTATCGCCTGTTTTGAATAGCTTTTAATAGGTTTGCCCCTCCCCGAGGTGAATGCCGGCAGAGGTTGGGTTTGGTGGGAAAAAAAATTCAGTGCAAAAGAGAAACCCTGAAAAAAAAAGCCTAAAAACACACTAAAAATACCCCCAAAACCCAAACCTCTGCTTGGAGAGTAAACACATTGCTCAAGTGGAGTTCTGCAAAACATCTCTTCATTGATGTTTATTGAAAATTAACACCCTCCTCGCTCCTCCTGACTTTAGTACTTCTTTGATTTAGATTCAGCTACTGCAAACAGAATCTTTGATTATGTTGTTGTCCCAGCTGACGTGATCTTAGAACATCTAGAAGACGGGCTGCCGGATAAGGAAGACTCTGGGACAGTTCCAGTACTGGTGGGGTCCATCCTGAAGGTTCTGTGTACAGAGATGGGCTGTGGCTATGATGATGTAAGTGTTGAATACTTACGGGACAGAAGTATTGTTTTGAGCAACTTTTCTTCAGTTTCTTTTTGAGTTTATGTGTATGTTGGCCTTAGCTTTTGAAGTAATGTCTTAAGCAACTTTGGTTCAGTTTGTTTTTGAGTATGTGTGTGTGTGTTGGCCTGAGCTTAGATTTGGTTTTAGACCTAAGAAAAAAATGTTGTGTTTCCTGTTTCAGTCCTGAAAAAATTAGGGTCAGTAGGTAGGGATTATCTTTTTTTTTCTTTTGTCTTAGGCTTTGGCAATCTCCAATGATCCATCCATAGAATACAGTTTATCAAAGAAAAACTTACATCAGGACACTATATTTTCAATATCATTGGAAAACCGAATGTACATTATTTCATCACGCAGGTGTCAGATCATGGAGCTAGTAAAAGTTGATCAGCTTGAAAAATGTATGTCCCTTGCAGGTGTCCACCAAAAAAAGTCTAGGGTTGGCAGGTTTTTCTAGGGTCGGTCGGAAAACAGGAAACACAGCTTATTTTTCCTAGGCCTTAGTTGATTGACAGGGTTGTGACCCAGTATGCTTTGGGTGGTAGGATGTGGTATGAGGTCACCAGGAATGTGTACTGTGTAATCATGGTATGAAACATAAACCATGATGTAATACTGGATTAGATTACTGTTAGTCTCTTTAGATTCGCGGGGCCTAAAGTTCGCGGTTTCGGGAAAATGGACAATCCGCGGTATTTTTAGATTCGCGATTTCTCCTTGGCTATTCAAGAAAGAATTTGTAAAATGCATTTTAAGAATAATAGAAGTTTGTGTCCCGACATTTTTATTTCCTAAAACGCGGCGCAAAAAAATTGTTTTCTGCACTGCGCGAGGCTGCCTGCATGCTCTGTCGGTATGCAAATGTTGCATCACATGTCCGCATTACGCGTCTCTGATTGGTTGTTGCGTCGTGCTGGCGGTAATACACATTCAAACTGAAGCGCGTGAAACAATTTTCTTCGTTCGGAAATAGCGCTAAAGCGCTATTTTCCACAACTACACAACCACACTGCAGTGAAGAAATGCATAATGAAAAGAATCTTTCAGGAAAACATGTATTGCTACGCCAATTTATGGCATATTCGGTGAGATTTTGGCGTTCGATGAATGCGGAAGTGTCCCAAGGTCGCCTTCTTATAGCCACGTTTACGCTAGCATTTATACCCATCAAAGCAAGAAAAAACTCCAGCAAAAGAGAACCAAGTAACATTTCCCAGGTACCAACAATTATAATTTATATTTTTCGCCAGAATATTTGTAGATGTGCCCACATTTTAGTGGTATGACCAGCGCTCTACACGCAAAGATTTTTGTCGGGCGGTACGCGGTTGACACGGCCAGTGCTATCGCTATTCGGTTTCTCATAATACTATTTTTTTTATAACAGTTTAACTTTAATACTAGTAGCTTTGATACAGTAGTCAACTACGTACATCTGCTAAAAATAAAGTTGATTTGCGGTGATTTGTGGATCGCGTGTTTCGCTTGAACTCGAAGTCCGTCGTGAATGCATGTGGGGAGGGGGGCACACTTATGCAAAACGTATTTGCGGGGAAATAGATTTGCGGTACAAAGGTCCCCCCGAATTCCGCGAATCTAAATATACCGCGGAAATTTGTAGACTTACAGTATGTCACACAATCCTTTGGCATAATATCCCATACTATGGTGTACTTTACATGTTGAATTTCATCCTGACTGTTGCCAGTCAGTAACATGGAGTAAAGAAGCATCAAGGAAAGTTGAAGTTCACATGTCTGTCTCTAGGTGGAGTCGGTGTACCACAGCTGCTGGATACGCTATACCCAGACCCTGCCTGTGAAGGAAGGCCTACCGGAGGTAAGTACATTAAATTTTGTACATTCCCTTCACTTTTATATCCACAGTAGGAAGAAAACACAGGTTTTCACAGTGTTTTTAGATTCGCTGTTAAAACAATCCTGTAGTACTGTAGTCTTACAAGGAAGTACACATGTATTGTTTTGGGCAGCATGCACTGCTTGAGGGGGAGTTTGCATCGTACATGTATATCAAGCAGGTATTGGGAGTGACTGGGTGGAGATTTAGTTTCAGTTGATTGTCAAGGTTTGGCCCAGTATGCTTTGGTTAGTGAGATATAGTATGAAGTTGCTAGGAATATGCACTACAATCCTGGTATGTACTGAAACATAAATCTTGGTGTAATGCTGGAGTAACTTATGTCATTCAATTGTACATTTGTATATTAACTAATGATACATTCTATGATGTAATTCAATCAGGTATTTCCCCATGATCATCATTTTCTTAAAATACAGTACAGTTCCAATACATTTATACAACCCAAATCACTTCTTTGAAGTTTGAAATCTCTCAGGCTGATTTCTTGTTCATTTCTTGTAAGGCCACACCGACTTAATTTTATGGATGACATCCGCGTGCGCATTGATTTTCGTCTGTTCTAAAAAAAAGAAAAAGATCAGGCACCCAGGCTACCGAAACTCCACGACTCAAGAACTCAGTACATATGTTAAGTGCCGATTTATAAATTCCACAAAAGGCCAGCATGTGCCTGCTTGTCGTATACTTCGCAATGTACTGCCGCAAATTCACAATACCTGAGCTTTGTATTCCTGTGGTTTAGTAGCATGTTTATTTTTGGCCGGAATTTTTTTTCATCTGCTCGCACGCACATGTACTTTGGGGGTCTTCGGAGGATGTCATCCATAAAATTAAGTCAGTGTGGCCTAAATCACTTTATTTCTTTCCAGCTGTCCTGGCTGGAGACTGAGTACAGGAGTTTGTACCTGTTGGAGGGAGACATAGATGAGACAACATTTCTTCACCACGACAGACATCTCATATCACCCTCCTCTGATAGGTCAGTTCTAGATCTGTGACCTGAAGTTATGTAAAAAAAGTACATGGTGTATACTGATTGGTCAAAATTGACAGACATCTGATATCAGTCACCCTCTTCCTCTGATAGGTCAGTTCTAGATCTGTGACCTGAAATAACCCCACATAGTGTATACTGATTGGTGGTGTGTCCTGATTGGTCAAAATTGACAGATACCTGATATCATCACTCTTCTCTAATTGGTCAGCTCTGTGACCTCAAATAACCTAAAAAAATTGTGTGTTTTGCTGTCTTACTTTTACATAGTGCATTATTTTCCAATAAAAAAATCAACGGTCAAACAAATTTAATCTTGGTCGGGAAGTGATTTCGACAGTTGATTGGGTATGTGGTATGAGTTCCTGGGAAGTATATAGAAGGATTCAGGAAGTAGTGAAATAATACAATGCTCTCCATATTTCCAAAACTTTCACGAAAATCCAAAACATGTCCATTAAGGTCTGAGAATTTGAAGGTCATGAAAATCCCCAAACCTACCATACGTTGTATTACTCTGAAACCTCTGATTTGCTGTTTGTATAGTGATGAAGCCAGTGGGATCCCTCATACCTCACAGACAGACCCTCTCTGTACACCTGTCAGGTGAGTCAAGACATCTTCTTTGTTGGATGAAGAAGTTCAAGGTCATTTGAGACAATATGGTAGCAAGTTACGTGTAATTGTGTATTCGAAGAGCGCTCTACATGTATGATCATTCCCTACTTTGTCTGCCAAGATGAAAAAGAAGATGATGACTTTGTGTATATTTAGGGCATGTAGCTTTCTGTATCTGTAAAGTGTATAGCCTTTCGGCGTAACACACCAGCTTTAAACATCTTGTGATACATAAAGGATGGTCTTATTGATAATAATTGTATGCTGACTGTAGTCTTGGTTTGTTTATTCAGCAGTAATTTTTTTATGTTACCGTGTTGTTAAAATGTGATGTTTTACATTTCTATGACAACAGAACTGCCATGACAACAGTCCAGCAGCTCAAGAACATCCTGAACTCAGCTCAGGACGAACCTTCTTCTACACTGAAAACTTACTTCAATGTAAGTATTGTTTTGGGCAGTGCTGGTTTAGGGAAGTGTGTATGTTTGGGCTCCAGAGTTAGAAGGATCATCAAGTGAGTTAAGTCATACAAGCGTATGAAAGTGAGTGGGCAGAGATGGATTTCAGTTGATTGACAGTGTTCTGACCTACATGTACGTGTAGTATGCCTTGTCAGTGTTCGAAATACCTGTCTGCAGTCTGCAATATGCAGATAGATTTTCAAGATTGCAGAAGAAAAATTTATACAATCTGCAATTTTGCAGAAGGAAAAATAGACTCCAGATTCAATAGTTTTCAATTTAGCAAACTAGCACTCTCAGGTCCTATCAAGGACAGACAACACTTGAGCTCCTGTTCTGAAACAACAGGAGCTTCTTCACTAATTTGCATCATCCTTGTCTTGACTTGTCTATCTTTTGTTTCCCTTTGGACTTCCAAAAATTTGTCTTCACACTAATTTGCATATCAATCAATACTTTTTGCTTATAAACCTGCAGTTCTCCTTCAGTCTCTTAGTGTCACTGATGAGAAACGTAATAGTCTGACCGTTTTAGGTAGCACCAAAATTATATACAGCTACTTGAGTACCTGTTTTTTTTTGTGTGTGTCTTTTATTAGTATGTTTCAGTATGTTTTTGCAGAAAGTTTTTCCAAATTGCAGAACAAAATTTTGACTCTTCTGCAATATTGCAGAGCACTGAAAAAAAGTATTTCGACCGCTGCTTGTACATGTGGTAGGTTGAGGTGACCAGGAATGTGTACTCTGTAATCATTGTATGAAACATGAACCATGGTTTGATACTGGAGTGAGTTACGTCAATCTTATGAGTATTTATCAGTAACTGTAAGTTATAAGAATCAGTTGTAATTCAATTGGGTGTGTCCCCATGGATGATTTTGATGTTTTATGTACATGTAGTCTGGGCACCAGTGAAAATCAATTTGTCGAGTTGAATAGGCCACTCAGCTGTCTGAAAATTCAGTAAATAAATAAGTAAATTTGAGCTTCACTTTCCCTCCACAGAACTGTTCCACAGACCCCACTGAGGGCATCCTGCAGAGAGTCTCCGCCCTGAAGACAGCCTTCGTTTCCCGCTTCCTACAGGCGACAGGTGATAACTACAGGGACATCGCTGAGCAGGTGATGATACACACTTACAGGGCAGACACCACATTTGCATTGAGCAGTAGAGGCCTCAAAATGGGAACATGATTGTAGTGCCTAGTTAATACCTTTGAAAATCCTTTTTTCTCTTGAAAGTTTTGGTCCATTTTGGAGATTTTTGGGCTGGAAGGCTAGCCTGGGTACCATCCCCAGTAGTATATTCGCAAACTCTATAACTGGGTCTGGACTTGAAGACATATAAAACGATTGGTCATGACGTCACGTAATGAGCTAGCCCGAGCAGCGGGGCTTCATTTGATTGGCTGAGCCTCAGAGGCGACAGCCAATGGCGCACCTGCATTATTCAAGTGATGTTTGTTGTTTTGTAAACACAGATCTTCGCGCGAGTATTCCTTTTCTCGGTGCGTTCTTTTTTTACCGGTAGGACGCCCAAAACATCACGAACAAAATTATTCAATGCATCTTTTTGCTCATTTTTGATCGACGATATTCCGTCTAAATCGTCCAAAACGGACGTGATTGCGAGGTCAACATCAACCTCCGTGAGCTGAGCGGCTTGTGCGTCAGCCATGTTGATGATTTATCACGGAAAGACTGACTACGGCTATATCATGTGCGCTTTAGCGTTCGGTTCGCCGTCGGACATGTTGATGATAAGGCGTTCGGACGTTCGAACGGACGCTAACGTCGCAGTTCGGACATCCGAACAGCCCTTACCTAATATGTACACACCCAAAAAAGGGCTTAGACGAGTAGGACCAATCAGCGCGCTCGTTCAAAATCTGAACGAATATTTAGACTCCAGACGCTACATATGTGTTCAAGTCCAGACCCAGTTATAGAGTTTGCGAATATACTACTGGGGATGGTACCCAGGCTACTGGAAGGCACAGGTAGGGTCTAAACTTTCCTACATTGGTCAAGTTTTGTTTATTTCACCAGTTAAGTGGGTGTAGTGAGAGATGTGAGTGGTTAGGACTTGTCTGGCCAGGCGGATAGATACCATGGAAAATGTAGGTCAAAGTTGAGGTTTTGTTACTATCATCAGCTGTGGCGGGAATTTGAGATGGTCAACCCCCTGTTTCCTTTTTATATTTGTGAATCAGACCCTTGTTGCTACCTGGTGCAGAAAAATTTTTGAGATTGAAGTATGGGCAAGTACTTTCATGAGGACTTCTAATAGTGTATTTAAGCATGTGTTCCTATGGGCAAATCTAATAGTACTGTCTGCCCTACACACACACTGTCCGGTTTATCATCTGTTGTTCCCCGTCTTCCGAGGGTTAGATGTGCTTGCACTGTACAACTGGGGCTTGATGGCAGCTCGCTACTTGTATCTGTCCTAGGGCTGCGGACCGGTACACTGTACCGGTCCAATACCGTAAAAATCGTTTCGGTACAGGTCCAAAATACCGGATCATGAAGTAACGAGTATATACCGAAATAGCTAGTTTACACCATGTATATGACTAAAGATAGATAAATCCTACCACAAAGACGAAAAATTAGCACTAGAAAAGACGTAAACACCATCGATTGATTTGAGATCCTCAGTCTCATGAGACATCGCGAGAGTGTGGCTGATCCAGGATTGTGATTGGTCAACAAACTCAAATCAGGTCAGAGGTCAGTCATTTTCCCTTCCCTCCAACACTTTATTATTGTTTCTGTGTCATGATTGAAAAAGTGAAGAACACGTGTTAATTTGTCAAATTGTTCAGGTACAGGTACAGGTCCGGACCTGTACCTAAACCTCTGTACCAGTACCTGTACCTGTACCTGATGTTACGTTTAGGTACGCAGCCCTAATCTGTCCTGTGGGTTGATCTTGTCCAAGTTCAGGTGGTGGAGGTCCTCCCTTTTGCTGTCAAACCATTTCCTCCTAGGGCGACCACGGGGGTGGAAGATGCCGAAATTTTATTTCACACATGTTCAGAAGCAAATTGTTATTGAGTTAGTCGGCTTTAATGTTTGTCCCGTCCCCAAATAACTGACCAGTGTTCTACCAGCCCCATGTTTTTTCTGTCAGTTCACTTAAGTGTTATGTAATACCATGTCTAATGCTGAACACTGGAATCCTAGGGGGGTTCCAGCAGGTAAATTTATAAATCTTGACCCTTTGAATGTTACATGACTTGTATGCATTTTGAGGGGCAACCTTGCTGCTATACTAAGCTAATTTAATGACATCTTTGTCCATATCTTTACGTGCTGATTTTTGTCCATCAAAGATGATGAACATCAAAGATGATGAATTGGGCAAATTTTTTCTGTTATAAGCCCTAAAATTCTGTCAAATTGGAAAGACGAACACTGGTTAGAACACTGTTCCCTACTCTTACATTGGAGTTTAAATCCCCCATAAACTATTCTGTGGCAATGATTTGTTGTTTTTACTTGTTCTTGTGTTGTAGAGATGCCACCTGGCCATCAGGATGTACTACAGAGTCATGGAAGCCATGCTGAAAATGGTAGGTCCAACTTTCCACCTCAACCCTGCAGTTTGTATTGTGGTCACTAGGTGTCTCTTTTGTACTGTCCAACTGTAACTTAGTGGTTGCAGTTGAAGTACATTTTGTACTGTATACATAAAGGCCTCATTATTGCTTAGAGATGGACTAAGAAACATGAAAGGGGTTAGAAATGACCAGAAATGTTTTTTTCAAGAAAACGTACTGAGAAATGAGATGAGGTATCAGAGTATGGGAAGGATCCATACTCTTTATTACCTCCGGGGAAGGAGATATCCTTCCGCGAGGAGGTTTTACTATGGTTCAAAACATTTCTGTCAGCAGCTGTTTCTCGCGATCGGCTGGACGGATTTGTCTGTGGTTCGGTATACGTATTGCTATTGGGCTGCGGATGATGCAGAACGTTTTTGTTTAATTGCATATGTGTTTATGGGCGTCGAAATAAAAGGTTTTTAAGTGCTCCGGACACCCCCGCCATGCTGAAAATGGTAATTACCATGTTGTTAAGGAATGGGGCGGTTGCAGTTTTGGGTCTTAGCATTCAAAAGGGGTCAAACAGAGGGGTGTCTGGTTCCGATAAAAATTTTGGGTGACGGCGCAGCAATGACGGCGCGGGATGACGGCGGGGGTAATGGCGCGGGTGACGGTGCAGGCTGTCAGACTGTGAGACACGTTAATCAACAGTCCATACCGAACCAACCGTCAGTAGCCATCAAACACATACAAACATATTACGCACATAACTTTCATACTACACACAAACAAATAACCTAAACCAATAGAACACAAAAAAACCCGGAGGTTTGAAATCTACGATTTCCCTTGTTATATTTAAAAATATAATAAAGAGTATGGATCCTTCCCAGTGTGAGTGGTTGAAACATTACAGTCTGGTCTCTGGGTTGACATCTTAAAAACACCCTGTAGTCACCAATTCTGTCAATCCTTCCACAATTCTGATAAATCTCAATAGGTAGATAAACAATTACAAAATGTATAAACATAACACATGCATTTCCACAAGAATAAAGCCAGACACGTCACAACATGCTGTTTATATGAAGGTTCTGAGTAGCTTTAATGCAGCAGTTTCTCAAACACTTGGCTCTCCGACTCCCACACTCATACAAATATTTACTATACCAACATTTCAGACACTTGATAAAAGCGATCTTAATCTACTTTTACACAGGTTCACATTAAACATGGTACATGTACATGCATGTCTGGAACACGTAACACGTAATATTATCACTTTGTGTGTTTTGTTCTGAATCAAGACTATATCTTCATAGAACAATTTTGTGAAGAGAAATGTACATCATAGTTTTGTAACAAAGTACGTAACTGTTTCCTCTATATAATGTTGTTCAACTGTTTATACAAAAATGATAGTAACTTAATGTTTACATAAACATCTAGATAAAATACAGGCAATGGCTTCCTATTTGTTTACATACTTTCTTAATCAACAAATCAGGCACACAAATTAAACAATTATAGGATAGAAAATTCTGCCATGCCTTCTTGGGTTCTTCCTTCATATTTCTATCACAATTAAGAAGATATTTTTTTTTGTCATTAGTTAGTAGGATATTCCAGATATCATGAAAGAGGGGATCATTTCTGGTACAATGTATTCTAACTTAAATGTCTAATTTTTGAAAGAATAAATAATTAAAAGTTTGACAGATTTTACAGGCAAGCGAAATACATTGTAAGAGACACCAAAAGAACAAAATTTTTAACTTGTTGTCTGAAAAGCAGGGGTTTAAGTACTTATGAAAAAAAGTAAAAAAAGTTAAAAAACAAGTAGCTGCCATTTCTAGATTACATTCAAGTATGTTACAAATAAGTTCATCTCTTAGCATCAGACTCTGCTTATAATATAATGTTGACTAACTTTTCATACAAAAAATATCATTGTAACTTATAAACTTATAAAAAGTACAAGCAACAGCTTTTAACATTTTGTCTCATGCAACAAAAACATTTAGTTTGTAGACACAACCCAAACTTTCTGAAATCTAAACTTCATGTCCCTGAAAAGTCCAAAGTCTGGAAATGTTTAGGAATTTGCTAGAAGTTGTTTTGCCAGTGTTCTTTGTGCCAAGTTTTCAACAAGAGTTTAACACTTGTTTTTATCTTACAAATGGATAGATGATAGATTTTGTACACAGAGATACAGGAATGTGGGGAGGGGGGCACTGGCTGTCTTGCATGTAAAATATACTGTAAGTAATAAAACTTTATAGTAGTAGGAGGGAAAGGATGGTTTCAAACTTTCTTCAAATTTGATGTTGAAACACAATCTGCAGGACAGTAATTATACAAGGCAGACATCAATGTATTTTGCAGTGCCATGGTGGAAATATTGCTGTGAAAATGTCAGAAATAATAAAAAAAACATCAAGAAAGTTTCACCATTTACAGTACAATGATAGCACAACCTGCATCCTGGCTTATGCTAAGTGATAACCCTTGTCCTGCTAGATGTCTGGAACATCAGCACAGGACAGCAGAGATGGGGGCAGTTGTAGCAGGCTGGAGGTTAACATTCCAGTTCATTGATTTGATTTGTAGTTATTGAGGTCAAACTTAGGTCAGACTGGCGCGCTTTTAGGATTTTACCCACCATGCTATTTTCGTGATTGACATTCTCCGTGGGTTCTTGTACTACGCTAAGTCTGGACGGGGACCGTGAGCTGAGTTGATTGACAGCTGGTTGTGATTGTGAGAGCGCCCCGTGTATCAGGTTCATCTGTGAGCGATTGAAGGCGTTCAGTTGAATCTGGTTGTGTCGGGATTCGGAGACTGATTGGTCGGACAGGTTGAACACGGTCTCCGTCCACGGGCAGCAAAAGAAACAGGATTGCACGAGGCTCTTGAAGGTGTTGCGGTAGTCGCGGTTCCGAAAGGCGTAGATGACGGGATTCACCGCGGAGTTGGCGTGAGAGAGAAGAATGGCGGTCATGAGGAGTTCGTACGGATACGGGCACGCCTCCCTGCAGAGGTGATCGATACAGTTTAATGTGTGCAGCGGCAGCCAGCACACCGCAAAGAGTCCAACTATAATAGCCAACGACTTCGCAGCCTTTACCTCTTTCTTAAAATACTTCTTTTTCTTCTCGATGGCGGAAGTCGTTATGTCGGTACTCTTGATCGATCGCAGCTGTTTTCGTACCGACCAGAAGATAGTGGAATAGATGAAGCCCATTATTAGCAGTGGGGTCAGCACGCAGCCGAAGAAATTAAAGTAGACAAAGTAGTCAAAGTCGATGACAGCTGTGAATGCACATCCGTTTTGTGATGGTCCCAGGTTCCAGCCCATAAGGGGGACCATGCCGATAAGGAGTGACAGTGCCCATGTCAAAGCGATAGCCCAGCGGGCAGTTCGCGTCGTCATAAGGTACTCGTACCGTAATGGGTTCATTATCGCAACGTAGCGATCCACCGCAATGGCAAGGAGGCTAAAGATGGAGCTCTGCGTGGTGATGATGATGAAAGAAAGCATCATCAGGCATCCATGGAAATTATGCGGGAATCCCAGGTACGTCACGATCGCAAACGGAATTCCGAGGAGTCCCACGCAGATGTCGGCTACGGCCAGCGATACGATAAAGTAGTTAGTGGTTCCGCGCAGGCGCCGATTCTTATAGACAGCGAGGCAGACGAAACTGTTCCCCGTAACAGCAGCAACAGCAATGATAATTTCAACAGTTATATTTACAATAGCAATAGTAGACAATTCGTTTGTTGAATTGCGTCCTGTTACGTTACCTTCCATGGTACGATTTTGCATCCGTTGCAAACTGTTGATTTCCGACGCTTTCAAATTGATGCCTTTCAGTCCTCCTTTGCTTCTGACTGTCCTCCAATCCGAGGTCCCCACAAACACTTCCCGCATTTATTGTCAGCTCTGTATTCCTGTCAGTATCTCTGTTCAAGCCCTCTGAAACTAGAAGTCCAACTCCCAGAAGTCAATGTTGCCGCAATTTATCCTTTAAGCCTGCTTGAACGTTGCTTCCGGATGTGACCCAGGTTTACGTCAATCTTTTCCATCCATCATAAAGACAAGAATCTTCGTCATCACCACCTACGCAGCTTTGATGTGTGCTCTCCCAGTGGAAGCAATTAGGTCCTCTCGGGGACACCGGCCCATTTAGAGAGAGTAGCCTTGGTTGACCTGTAGGTCGTTGCACTTCCTGTGGGGATGGTGAGGGGAGAGGCCTGGACACTCTCTTGCTGTATTTTCAAGTAATTATGCGATGTCAGACTTTTTTTCTACCACTTAAGGATAAATTGAAGGTACTGTTAGTTTGAGGTGTGTGACAAATGATGCTGAAACACTTCTGTTGTTGGTGTACTGAAAATACACTGTATCCCACGACTACAATATACTGTCATCCAGACTTCAATATTGATAGTTTGTTTTCGGTTGCATCTCCTTTCTGCAGAGGTACTGATTTAAAACCCAGGATGCTCTCGGTGGTGTACGTTGTCTGTAGTGGCATGTCATTTATCTGGCATCCTGACCGCCCCTGTCCAAATGTTTGCAGTGGAGGGGATAAAATCTGACAGGTGGTGCGTCAAGAAGGTGTCTACAGAGAAGGGCTGCCAAACAACAAGCTGCCTCCTCTCAAGATAAACCAATGGAATCAATCTTTTCTGGCTGTCTACAATGGCACATCCTTTCTTGAATTGTTGATAGAAGTCGTTGCCAAAGTGAGATCAGTTAGAATGAGAACAACATCAAATCCCTTCGTCTGTTAAAAGCTGGTTACTGTTGACCAATCAGTGAGCTTCTTTTGCTATCCCTCCATGCCTTGTCTACCAGCTTGGTAAAGGGATGGGCGTGGCAGCTGCTGTTACCATGGCAACCACCTAACAGACAAAACAAAGAAGAGGACATTTTAGTTTTAGAGGACAAAAAGTTTCACAGAAACCACAGTATGTGAGTGAAAAATTGAAAGTGTGATAGAATATGGTCCTTATTACCCATTATGGATATTAAATACATCCTATTCATGTATCATATTCTAGGTGGGTGTCATTCTTGTTATGAGGTTATCTTGCATTTTATTTTCATAATGTACAATGTACAAGGAAATGAGTAACATTTCCTTGTTCTACATTTCATTCAAACTCTTTTTAAACTACATGTAACTCACTATGATCTAATAATTCAGTTCAGTACATAGAGGACATTGTGGTAAAGAAGTTGAAGTTAGTACATGTGGATTTGTGACAGGTTATCAAAGAGGGATAAAGATTATGTGATTATGGACTGGATCAAAGGATTTCCTGTTGGATTATCTGATTCAGCATAGACCAGGCTACTGGTACTCACTAAGTCCTCTATCATGCAGGCATTATAACACGCTCACGTACATGCCGTGGTTGCATGTACACTACATGTAACTGTATGTTTTGAAATTTTTGCAATACTGGTAGTTGGATCTGTCTTGAACTCACAGTTCTTGCGGCAAAGATGTGAATACAGACTGAGTGCATTACTACATTGTAGTACTAAGTACTGTACTACCGTATATAATTATAACAGAATTGTTTCATCCACAAATTTAAAACACCATAGAACCTCCTATTCCCTCCTACCACAAAATAAAATCACTGCAAAGGTACATTCATTTTACAGTACTGTCACAGTAGTACAAAGTTTCAGGTTGTCAACACATTCTTCCATTGCATTTTTTCTCTGCAAATATTTCTAGCCAAGAATAACTGTTATACAATGTACATGTAAGCTGCATCATGTAGACTTAATATTGGCAATTGTAACAATGTGATAAGATCATTAATTTCCCTATACATGAAGAAGAGTCACGAAACTTCTGTGTTACCCATATTAAGAAAAAAAAAAGAAACTTTCATCCAAATTGAAAGGGGATCATATCAAAAATATCCAAGCGGCAAAAACATCAAGCTTAGCAAGAAGACCATTACAAAGTCATGTATGCAGTCATAAACTTAAAGGTAACTCTAAATCATGTCTGGTCAATAACAACCTTCATGTTCAAGTTTCTCTCGTAGACAAAATACAAATTCTGGTACCTCGAGCAAAAGGTTGCATCATCCTACTTAGTGTGGGCAGGAACGCATCCATCTTGAAAGTTGTTGGCCATTTGAAGGTGATTGACAATTGATAGACCTTAGATTACCAACAACTACACCTTCAGAACTTCAACTGAAGAGCTCCTAGTTCTCTCCAACAAATTTGATGTTTTGAGGCTTTTGTAACTTAGAAGACTTAGCAGCAAACTGAACTATATTTAGAAGCAGCTAATCCTGTTCAAATCATCCCCAAACACGGCTCAAAGTGATTTGTTGGGTCAGTTTTGCCAATTAAGTTAATAATTTGTATACAGAAATCCTTGTTTGTGTTGAAATTTTTGGTTGTGGGATAAAGTGGCCAGGTAACATCATAACACTCTGGTCTGCACCAAAGTTCAGCCAAGCAAAAGAAATAAACTTCCCACAAAGAAAGGAATCTGCGAAAGGTCACAAAATATACAAATTGTTAAAACCTTCTACTAGCACTTGAACATGTTTACACTTGATGCAGTTTTAGGTGGAGTCTGTAGATATCTGATAAAGTTGTAATGCCCACTCCCATGTGTAATAGTTTGTTTCAAGACCTGGCTCTGCTATGAAACAGTGTTGTTGACATGAAAATTGACTAAAAGATGGAGATAATAAACTAGATAAAATGATGTAAAATCTGCATAAAACAATGTACATTTAAAAGAACATGGAAGAAGTTCAGTAAGATAATTCTTTCAATCAGTGACTATTAAATCCTAAGGTACATACCTCCGAATTTTCGACGACTAGTCAGTTCGTCTTGGTCACGGAATAATCCTAGTCTCGCAAGATAACGCGAGACTAGGACGAGACTTGCGTGGATCTTCTGCCCCCCTCTGCCTCCTTGCGGAGTAGAGGTAGGTAGGGCTTAGGCAGCTCCCAGCCTTCGTTGCGGTTCAGCTTGGCTCCCACTAGTTGGATGTGTATGGCCTCCTTGATCTTCCGATGTGCGTTGCGGGCTTCCTGATCGATAATTTCGATCGGCAGAAGATCCACGCAAGTCTCGTCCTAGTCTCGCGTTATCTTGCGAGACTAGGATTATTCCGTGACCAAGACGAACTGACTAGTCGTCGAAAATTCGGAGGTATGTACCTTAGGATTTAATAGTCACTGATTGAAAGAATTATCTTACTGAACTTGTACTATACGTGACTGATGAATCTCTTCAACAACATGGAAGAAGATTTTGCACTAACATGTTCTAACAAGTTTCTTGCTAAGACATGCTTTTCTATAACACCATCATCATGATGTTCAATAATAATAACATAATTATTGTACTACGTACAGTACTGAATGTACCTACCAATTTCTGTCTTAGCTCCATTTGTTCAACTGCTGACCAAAAAAATTCAGCCTATCAAATTTGAAAGGTTTAACAGCGTCCAACTTCGGATTGTGGCAAAGCGTGACACTTCTTTGATAGCCAGCAGTGCGCAATGCAGCCTTACAACGGCTGGCATATTCAGCCAATCATGACATTGTGTAGGCCAATTGGAATTCCAATTATCGTATATTATTATAAGCCATGGAGGGATGGGCGTAGATATCCCCATGGGATATTGTTGTGACTGATGATGACATTAAAACTACAGGAACTCCTGTCAACAGTCTTTCTAATCAGTTTATCAACTAACCTTCTCCCTCCTGCCCAAAAAAATTAGTACACGTACGTTGTAGAATTTAGTATCATGTAGACTCCATATCTTTTTCATACATAATGATTGTTGTTTGTTTTTGCAATTATATAGCCCTCGGGCATGTATTTGCAATAAACTGTGACAGTCATAAATTATAGAGAATTGGTAGCCAAATGACAGCTTCTGTATGCTAAATATTAAGCACTGCCCAAACTGTCCTTTGTTAGACAGGGTGAAAATTTTTGGTAAAAAAAAAAATAATCAAACAGTTAGCAAAAGTGGAAGAATTTTCCAAGACATACCGGTATTGAGAAACCAAATACTAAGGGACCTGATGTAAATTATAGAATTAAGAAAAAAAATGAATTATTAATAACAGTTTGATAAGTGGCCTCAAATGTCATATTGTTCACCCAATCAACCAATTTATTATAAAAGTTAGAATTTAATTTATGATTTAAATTTATGACGAAGATGAAGTCTTCCTTTATAGCCTTTCTTTATAGCACACCTGGCTAGTGCATGTTTACCAGTTTCATCCAGTACCAGTAGTCAAACAGCTTGGAAAATATGACAACGTTAATCAAATTCAGAAAAATTGACAATTCACATACACCCTTACCACTTAACAAGGCAGATCTATGCCTTTTATACCGTCTTTGGCACTTACAGTAAATGATGAAATATTTGGGGTGGATTTATGTGCTTTCATGTAGTTTTCACCATGACCTCTCATTGCAAACTACCGCTTTTGTTTTGCACTGTGTCACCATACTATCTTTAGTTGTTTCAACCATGAACAAAGATACCGCTAACTCTTGATTTTAACCTTGCTGTGAAATTTTATTACACTTAAATGAATGTACGGTAACAAATGCCAGCATCTTTTAATGGGAATATTCTGAATTGGCATGAAATTGTTTATCTGGAAAAAAACTGTCCTATGAGACCAAAATGGCTGCTCTGTACAGCACTAAAGTCAAGATATGAAATTGACTCTGATATATTATGCCATTATTTTTACATTAACTGTCTCTTTGTAAGTGAGTCTAAAACACTATGATTTAAACTGTGCAAAACAAGATGGTAACATCCGTGTCCATAATATCACCAGGGTCCATAATATCGCCACCTTGAGAAATAGTGTGCTCAAAGATATTTTTACTGCAACATACCCTATAGGTATGTACATTTGATGTTTGAAGGAGTGCATACCAAAAGTATGTTGCAGTAAAAATATCTTTAAGCACACTGTTTCTCAGGGTGGCAATATTATGGACCCTGGTGATATTATGGACACGGATGTTGTAGTCTTCCTTTACAAATCAAATTCAAGCTAAAATGCAAATGTTTTAAGTCCAGATTTGAGTTCTAGTTTGCATAATACCATCTGACAAATTTATACCCCTCATATTGAGCGCCACACCAAAGAAGCATATTAAGCCAATCATAAACTAAGTAGCAGTATATAAGGCTTAGCACACACACCCATTAGGAAATAAAACACCTCCATAGGGATCATGAAAACAAGGCACAGTCAGTACACATCCATCTGAATGGTTCAGACGAACCCCCCCCCCCCCACCAAGGCTCAAAGATCCACTTTTTGGTCCACTTTTTATCTTAAGTTTTTCTTTCAAAGATGGACTGAATCGTATCACCAGCAGGGCTGGAATCGTAGAAAAACTGATTACTTTGTCATTGAATAAAGAGATTTTTTCTTTGAAATCCTCTCAAATACGCAGGAAATGCTATTCCAGAGGGTTCATTTTTCAAAATTTCCCGGGGAGCATGCTCCCGGACCCCCCTAGGAACTTCGCACGGGTGCTTGCTGGTCCATCAAGCAGTTGGAAGATCCCCCCATTCAAAATCCTGGCTACGGGCATGTGATGGAAGAGGAATTTCATTCAGCAATACGTTTCCTCTGAAACCATTATTGGGCATATAAATCTCCAAGTGAGATGGTCTTTTTGTATCCGAAATGGTTTCTTTGAGCTGATATGTTGGGCAGGGGATATTGGGTGGATTATGTTGGCGTGCAGTGTAATGTGTTTTGCCACACCAAAATCCTGATGGATCTAGGCAGAAAGTGCTAGAAGAAGTTGTTTGTTCCTAAGACTAACTTCTTAAATCCT